ACGCTGGCAGTGAAATCCAATCTTTCACAGTTCAGTCCTGGTCTCTCACAGTTAAATTTGGTCCTTCAGTCAAGTCCTGGTGCATCGCAAAGTTTGCATGAGCACATGGAGCAAACGCTTAAAACATAAGACACAATCTTAACAAGCGGAGAATGACCATGACACACTATGGGGATTAGGGTCATCTTTCAAAACACTGTTGGGCTCCATGGCCACATAAAAAGACAGATTTCACTGTTGCAACCAAAACTGCCACCATAAAGGTTTTGGCCAATCTCACACAAATGGGGGGCAACCAGCTAAAATCTGCTTCCCTGGAGCAGAGGAAAACTGATGGGTGCGGGAAGACTCCAGAATATTCTACAGGCACCAACCTGGGGAGTTAAACTGACAGAAAAATTAATGACTAGGGAGGAGGATGTTCAAATGGAAGCTGAGCCCCCGGTGAATTCCACCTAAGAACCCCCTACTCCCCCCCCACAAGGAGCAGACAATGTCATCAAACATCTTTAAAACCAACCAGTGGTGGAAATCAGCAGCCAGCCCTAGACTTTGCTATAAAGTCGTAACACAGTGACTGCTCAGCTAAACCAAAAGCACACAATTACATCCTGTTTGTCAGTAATCACAGCCTCTCCTGTTGGAACGGTACACAGTTATGCTGTCACACAGCATACAGCATGTTGTATGAGATATTTAAATAAAATAATAATATGAAAGGCATTCAATTAACAGTTACAGCCCCAAAAGGATAGTAGTACACTGATGTAATTAAATGTGCTATAATTAATTGTACTTTCCAGCTTTGAAAGCCCAGGTTTGTGATTATTAAAGCGAACACCAGCTAGACCAGGGGTCCCCAAATGGGAGACTCCGGTCAGAATCTGGACCGAGATACAATTTAATCCAGACCGCGCCATTGACCACGATTGTCATGCCCCCCCACCCCCCCTCGCTCAGCAAAAGTTATTGGGGGCAGTGGACCTTGGCTTTGTGTTGCTGATGGAATTTAGCCCTGGGGAAAATTAGGGACCCCTGAGGTAGACTGTAGGTGAAGGGGAAAGCAGGCAAACTGAACATGCACGAGGCCCAGCAGCTGAACATGCGCGAGGCCCAGCAGCTGAACATGCGCGAGGCCCAGCAGCTGAACATGCGCGAGGCCCAGCAGCTGAACATGCAC